AAAAATTATCGAGCTCATTTTATTTATCGTGCGATTAATTGATTTATCGCATATCGCGACAGGCCTACTGTAGCCCTTACCCCACCCACAGTCATCTCAAAGCCTGAACAGTATCATCACACAGCTGGATCTGTTAGACACATGGAAGGTCAAACTCCACAATCCAGATACACATGGGTGAGGGTTAGCAATAACAGGGTGAGTGCAACAAGACTGGACAGGATCTACATTTCTCACAGTCTCAGCTTCAGAATACTCCACAGTAACAGACTGGCTTTTTTGACCACCCTTTTGTTTTTGTGACCAGCATAGAGTTGATCATCTTTAAGAACAAACTTCTGCAACACAGTACTTTCTTCCTGAGCTTTGAGTGTTTTTGGCAGCAGTGGAGAATTAAACAACCTGATTTCAGTTCTTTGAAGTTGTGGTGGGAGGTTGGCACAAATTAGCAGTTCAGGAACTTGAAGCAAACATTAGGGGATATTGAAGAGGGGTTGCATAGAGACTCTGATCCCAATATGGGTCATCAGCTTCAGGAGAAGAAGCTTGAGTTGAGCTCCTTCCTGCAGGAGAGAGTGAATGGAGCTCTTGTCAGGTCTCGTTTCCTCCAGCTAAGGGACATGGATGCCCTGACCTTTTCTTTTTTAATCTGGAGAGATCTGTCGCACAGAGGAAACAGATGACCTGCCTCAAACTTCCTGAAGCAGAGTGACCACCAGTCCAAGCGAGATGAGGAACCATGCAGTGGATTTTTATTCTGACCTTCAGGGAAGAACACTGCAGCATGGAATGCCGCGAGGAGCTCCTGGAAGAGCTTCCTCAGCCCAGGAGAGAAAGCTCTGGACTGTGAGCTGACTGTCATCGGGGTTATCACCTGGGATTGATGGTCTCTCCTTGGTCCCTGATTTACACTGTGTTTGTTGGAATGTTTCAGAAAAAGAATCAACATCCTGGAAATAATGGCAGATGATGTAAAAAATGTTGTCAGTGTTTGCAGGACATCCTGTCCCTGTATGAAAAAGCCTCATCTGCACAGGTGAACTGGGCGAAGAGTGAAGTCTTGTTGTTGGGGTAGTGGATGGACCAGGCAGTGCCCAGTTTGCCTGGAGGACTTGAGTGTGGGAAGGAGGGTCTGAAAGTGCTGGGAGTGTTTTTGGGCACCGAGGGCTTTCAGGTAAAGAACTGGGAGGGAGTTCAGGAGAAAGTGTGCGCTTGGTTGTCTGAATGGAAATGGTTGCTACCCCAGCTGTCCTACAGGGGAAGAGCTCTGATTGTTAATTACATGGTTGGCTCATTGCACTGACGCCACCAAGAAGCCCGATGGAGGAGGTTCAGAGAGTCATCCTGGACTTCTTCTGGTCTGGCTGGCACTGGGTCCGGGCTGCAGCCCTCTACCTGCCTGTGGTTGAAGGGGGTCAGGGACCGATCGACACAACAGTCCAAGATCGCATCCTTTAGACTAAAGACAACCCTTTTATACAACAGTGGACAAAGCTGGTTTGATACAGCTCGCCTGCTGCTAAGGAGAGTCGTCCACTTGGGCTTACGGCCTGAGGACATGGACCTTACTGGACTGTGCCTTTTTACAGCTCGGTACTGTGGGCTTGGCAGATCTTTAAGAGCAAACGTGCCACAAATGAGATTCTGGGAATGTGGTTGTTTGAGGAACTTTTGTTTTTTGAACAACTTCATAAAGACTCAAACATTGCAGTCTGGCAGTCCCTGTACAGCAGACCTACAGTGGAGGGTTGTACACGGGGCAATAGCTACAAACAGATACAGAGTGCACCTGGATCCAGAGCCGGGGGAGGACTGTGTTTTCTGCTCTCAGACTGAGACCTTGTTTCATTTATTTGTTCAGTGTCCTCGGTTGTCAGTGCTGTTCCAGCTTTTAAAAAGGTGGTTTCAGGATCTAAGGAAGAATTTTTTTTCTGATTTGTTTATTTTGTTGGCCATCTGGATGACCCGCAGGAACAGGAGTAAAATCCGATTGACTTCCATCCTCTTCTTACCTCTCCTCTACGTCTCCTCTCCTCTGTCCTCTCTCCTTGTGTCCTCCCCTTCCCTCCCCTCTTGTCTTGTCTCCTTTCATCTTCCTCTTTACTTTGTCTCTCCTCTTTCTCTGAAGTACTGCAGTATATATGTAATGCAGAAGCCGAAGACAGGATTGTGAAGCCTCAGTGAGACAGCTCCAGTGTCAGGCAGTCAGACAGGTCTTTGAACAGCCGCAGACAGACAGACAGACAGACAGACAAGCAAAGGAAACCCAGCAAGGGTGTGATGGATACAGATTCAGAGCCATATAAAGAGGAGCAGGGAGGGAGGTGATGAGTCCGGTCAACAAAGTGAAGTGATTGTGTCTCATTAAGAACCAGGAAAACACAAAGAGACACAAACAAACAACGATTCCAGTTCGTCACTTTATTCCCTGTCGGTCCTCCATCAAACATTGTGTCAGACATTGTTAAACAGAGGAACAATATAACTGAGGATGTGACCTTAAAGGGTTACAATGACATTTATATTTTTACCTGGACTGGCATTTGGTTGTTATGTGACTCTAATTATTTTGGCACATTGTACCCTCCCTCGTAACTTCAATATTCTCTCCACTTTAAAGTCTGCACTACTTTTGGAGCTCCCTTTGTCACAAACACACACATCCAGCTCCATATTCACAAACAGCCCGTCACGCCCAGCCATCCCCTCCAATCAATTTGCGACACTCTTGTCTGAAACACACTTTAATGTTCCAGCGCTCTTTCTTCTGCCACTGCTATTTAACACACTTATATATTATCCTCTTATCTCTCCCTCCCTCCCCTCCCTCCCTCCGTCTTGTTTCCTCTTTATCTGCTCCGAGCATTCGGAGGCTCTCCGGCTGTGGATCTTCACATCATGCTTCCAGATTCCAGTAGACAGGTGATTATTTGAGAGACGGCTTTAACAGACAGCGACCGCTGAAAACCACCGCGTGCGATAACACGCACGCATCATACGTGTGGAGATTGATGTCACGTTTTCCAGCGATGTTATAGGTCGGACGTTGGAAATAATTGAAATGTTACACACCACCTGCACCGATGCACTCGCTGTTTGTTTGTGAGTGAGAGAGAGGAAGATAGGGAGGGGAAGAAAGTGCTTTTGAAGTTGCATTGGATGCAGCTCTCTTGCTTTGACCATGTTTGTACTTGTGTTAATCTGAGAGAGCAGAACCCAATTTACAGAGCTGCGAGTCTATTTCACAGCTGTTTGACCACACACACACACACCCAGAGAAAGTGTAAATGACGATGTATTGCTCGGGGCGTCTGACATTTAAACACTCCTCAGACACACAGAGAGAGAGAGCGCTGTGCAGCAGGTCTAATGTAGTATGACCAATCACCGGACGGCTGTAGAGAAACAGAAACATGTTTAGGTTCAAACAATACAACGTTTAAAGGCGCCACATGTGAGAGTCCGGAGCATTTTTTATGTATTATGAGTTAAAAAATGAGGCTGACTTCCTCTGCTGCCTGTGGATGGGACTGATCTTCTATGTGTTTCTATGTAGGGATCAGGGGTCAAAGATTGTTGACCTTTATCTCCTGAGTGCCTTCTCTCTCGCTCCCTACAGTGCCCAACAGTGGCAGACCACTAGTTACGTATTAAAATGGATCCACTAACGTCTAAAACACCGACACCTACCACCTACAACACAGGAGTCCAACAATCAGCAGAGTCCAACACAGAGTCCACAACCAAGAGTCCAACACAAAGCTATCATTTACTGTAAAGCTAGTGGAAAATATTGTCTAATTGTGCTGTTGAACTGGATAGACGTAGCTTGATTGCCTAAGCGTTTATCAAGGGGGATGTGTTTATTGGGAGGTTAGTGGCCACTTTGTTTTTGTTTTGGAAAAACAGCAAAAAAACAAATATAGATTTTTCCCTTCATCCTGAACACAGCAGATCTGCTTGCTTTGACTTGACGCTTTAGGGATATTCTTTTACAGCTTAGCCAGTCTGCTCTCATGTACAGCTCAGACAGGGTTATTCTGAAATATTTGTCAGAATTCAAGCACCAGCTGAATTGGACTGACAATACTATTAAACTGACTTTATGTGTAAATTGATGTGCAATTAATGCTTCAAGTAGTCTCGGACCCTGATATTTATAACTAAAATCAGTCGATAAACGGAGCCAGGACCAATAATGGAAAAATGTACAAAGGTTATTCTCTCTGCCCTTTCAATGATTAGAAATGTGTTGAATTTTGGCTGGAAAAATAAAGGTTTGCATGAAAGGCTCACTTCAGTGTGGACTCACAAACATAAATACTCCACAACACACACACACATATAATTTACAAAGCATTCATTTCACGTCATTCACAGATGGAGCGAGCAGAGGGGAGAGCCGCTCATGTTTACAATCTAACAGTTGGGGGAGACGCAACAGATTTGTAATCTGGTAATGCCCCCCGAACCTTCCCAGAGGGACCACTGCTGCCCCAACCTCCAAACAAAGTGGTGTCAATCTGTCCGAAAACAAAAACACACACACACACAGGTGGCTACGTTACCTGAGATGATGAGGTCATGTCGGAAATTTCCTCAGGAGAATGATTCGGCTCGTAGAGACGTCTCGTAAAACTCCTCCCCTGAAAAACCAAACAGAAAGGTGTTCAGTTCGTGCACACACACACACAGACAGCAGCACCAACCCACACACAACAACACACACACAAAGGAGGTACACACCTGGACGTCTACCTGAAACTACTTTCATAGTCAAATTGTTTGTGCTGTCACGGCAGCTCAGCGCAGCATGAATCGATTTTGAACACATCAGGGACTGTAGACACTGAATCAAACCACCAATATGTCAAAATAATGTTTATTGTGTCAGTAGTTGTCAATAAAGAGCAGCAGAGGGAAACACGTGAGGCTGCTTACAGGTAAATGGTAAATGGGCTGTAGTTATATAATCACCTTTCTAGTCTACAGATCACTCAAAGGGCTTTTACACTAGTGACATCCTTCATTCACATTAGCGATGACCCAAAGCATCGGAAGCAGTTTGGGGTTCAGTATTTTGCTCAAGGACACTTCAACATGCAGCGGGAGGAGCTGGGGATCGAACCGCAAAGCCTCTGATTACTAGACAACCTGCTCTATCTGCTGGGACACAGGTGAATACAAACAGAAAGTTGTCGCTGACGCTCCTCAGAATCAAACCTCATTTTCTCTGATTAACCATCCAGAATAAACGTCCATAATTGCTCGTAAAACCTTGAATCACCAGAATCAAATTGAGTCCAAGTGAACGTTTGTGCCAGATTCTGAGACATTGCGTTCACATGTATGGGACAGAGGCGGAATCTGAAAGCATAATGCCTGCAGCCTTGGCTATTGTAAGTAAGTACAATTATTAATATCTTTCTGTAAGTGCTTTACAGAGGCAAAGCACAGCAAAAGGAGGCACAATACATCATGAAATATAAAATAAAGCACATCAAAATACACAATAAATGTATCAAATGCCGACGTGGTTCCCCAAACAGAATTCAGTATATATAAATATCATATGTATAAACATCTAGTTCAACAGATGAGGTAATATTTCTGAAGTGGAAAAAGGAGCGTGGGTATCAAATGAAGAGGATTGGACAGCTATTACCCCTAAATTACACAGATTGGAGTGGGCAACAGAGGAAAGGGGGCCAATACTCAAACATTTTCTGCACTTTTCAGCACTGAGCTGTTAAAGCTTTTCTGCAGTTGAGTCCCTAATAACATCAAAACAGTCCAAGATAACCCACGAGCCTCACTAGGTTTTAAGGAAAAGTAGAGTTGGACATCACCTGCAAATAGACG